CGCCCTGGCCTGCACCCTCCGCCGGGACCGCGGAACGGCGCTGCTGTTGGCCTTGGCCCCCCTGCTGGGCCAGGGCCCGGGGACGCCCCCGCCCGCCGGCCGCGCGCTGCGGCCGCTGCTCGGGGTGTGGCTGCTCGTGTGCGTCGTGCTGGTGGCCGCCTACCAGGGGCTGCTGCTCGGCAAGCTGTCCACGGACCGCCCGCGAGGGGAGATTAACAGCCTGTCCGAGCTGCATGAGAGCGGCCTACCTGTCTACGCGACCTACGAGGCGTTCACCCTTACCGAAAGCGTGCTGCCAGAGCTCTTGCATGAGCGGGTGCGTGTCATACGCTCACTCGATGACAAGAAGCACTTGTACGAACATGTTGTGCTCGCTCGAGATTCCGCACTGATTGTAGTTTTCCATGACAGTTTAGCAAGAGAAAGCGTAAAGTGGTTTTTACCTGTGAAGATGTTGCATGCTTTCGAGCTAGGCTCGACCCACTTGATTTTCTGTGGTGTAAGTGGTGGAGGATCGCCGCTCGCAAGTGCGGTCGACAAGATTCTTATCCGGTCGCAGCAGGCTGGCGTTCTGTCCCACTTTAGCAAACTAGAAGACTTTAACGATCAACTCACTCTATCAAAGAGCACGGGGAAACTCTCGCAAGCGAAGCCTCTAGCCCTGCGACAGATGTTTCCCGGCTTCCTGATTCTCGTCGGGGGCCTCATTCTAGGTGGAATCGCTCTGGTTGGGGAGCTCCTGGTGTCTCGGTGTACCTACTAGTCGACCCCCTTAACGACACGTGAAAGACCGTTTGCGCAGCGAGGGCGCCAAGAAAACACCTGACAACCATAAGAGGCCGTCGACAGAGAGACAAAGCTGGGGCCGCCCGATAACGTCTGGACGAGCACGCGGGCGGTGAGCACCGGCCCCTGCAGCGCACCAGAGCGCACGGAATGGACGACTTCCTCGTTCTAGCGCTGCTCCTCTGCGCGCTCGGGGCGCTCGCTGCTCTGCCCGCCGTCGCGGATGTGCCGCCCGCCCCCGAGCCCGAGAGCGCGGCCGCGCTGCTTTCCGCGTTGCTCACGCCGCCCCCCCCCCCCCCCCAAAGGGCGGTGTTCCGGGCGCGCTGGGCCAACGCCCTCCTGACTGGCCTGCCCGGTGAGACACCCCCAGGCGGTGCTGGCGGACCCGTCGTACTACATGGAGGCGGACAGCCTGACGGTGCTGCTGCAGCTGAGTCCCAACGTGCTGGTGGCATTCCTAGGATTCCCTCCCTTGTTGCCTTCGCTCGCTATGCAAATCTATCGGAATGTCTCCGTTGCCTTTGTCATTTATGTCGCCATTATCGTCAGCAAGACATACCTGGAAAGAACATATTAGATTCCCGGTAGGGTGAAAATTTCCGAAAATTTCTGGAAAATTTACGGGATCTGGGGAATTTTCTTTACTTTTCCAGACATTTTCCGCTAACTTTTCAGGGCTTCCAACCCTAATTACTGGCTGTGCATGCATGTTTTCCTGACGTTCTCGGACCCCGTGTCGTACCTGATTATTATTACTGGCGCCCACGTCGTCCCACATCGATTGCCTTCGCACTGTCCCAGAGGCCGACAAAGCGAGATGTCCTGCTCTTTGCGTCACGTACGGAACGGTTGAAAGGGCGCAGTATTTACCGTCGGCCGGCTTGTTTGGGCGACTTTTATGCACTCTCAATAGAATTCTCAAACCACAAAAAGGGAAGAGTCCGCGAGGCCTCTGTTGGCCCAGCCGTGGGCAGACACCCGACAACGATTAGAAGCCGAAGGCGGCGGCACAGGGTCAAAGCAGGTGTGCCACCGGTGCGCAGTCCAGTCCTCTCCAGCGGACAACATGGAGGTCGTCCTCGTCCTGGCGCTGCTCCTCTGCGCACCCGGGGCTCTCTCAACTCTGCGCGACGTCGCGGAGGTGCCGCCCGCCCCCGAGGCCGAGAGTGCGGCAGCGCTGCTCACAGCATTCCTCCCGC